GAGAAGGTGGTCGACGACGAGAGCCGAAACAGTTGTTGAAATGTGGTTAACTTTAACTTTTAGATAAACTTGGCCGATAATCTTCATCTTGCTCTGACCGTCGCCGAGGGTGGCTGTTGATGTTCGTGGGAGGATCGGGCCATGGTGGATGTTGTTGAGAAGGGAGAAGGGGATGAGTGATGCGGTTGATCCCGTGTCGATCATGGCTTGGGTGGGATAGTTGTTGAGTTTGAGCGCAACCATGATGACGGATGGATTGTGATGGTAAGACGAGGTTCGACCATCCCGTACCCCTCCTACTCATTTTTTGACCATGGACAGTCCCGGAACAAATGGCCGGGCTGGTTGCACCGGAAGCAAAGACCGTTGAATGGTTGACCGGCCGATTGGTTGTAGCGACCTTGCCCTTGACCGCCTTGTATGTAGTTATTGCGCCAGCTTCCGAAGTTGCCTCTTCCATATCCGCCTCGAATGGGGCCGTCTCGCCAATAGCCACCTTGCCCAAAGCCGTTTGGTGTCGAGCCTTGTGTGTTGTTGGGTTGTCTGTGAGGGGCGACATAGACTTGTTGGGTCGCTTGCTTGGCCAAAGCCTCAAGTTTCTTGGCTCGTTCGTGTTCGACTCGTTTTTCCGCGTATTGAACCATGAACAGAATACATTTGTTCAAATAAGTTAGGAGCTACCTATAAATGAGAAAATAGGTATACTGCAGGACTCTGACTTGTTATTTCAAAAACTTACAGCGAACGTGCCGTCACAATGCCAACTTTCACATCCATTCAAAAGATCTAATTGTGCGGTACTAGCGAATATTAATAACCTTTGATGGTGGTTGTTATTATCATATAATAGAAATTGTTGGTTTGTAACAGTAATTTGAAAATTTGGCGGAATAACAATATCGGCAAATGTTTTAGGTTCTGTTGCAGGCAGTTTTTTCTTGGACAAGCAAAACAAAAAAATCCAATAACTTTTTCTAAAGTATAGTTTTTATCAAAAAAAAATTTTTTTGAAATATGTTTTGATGAAACAGTATTATCAGTTTTTACAGACCGCAGTACGGTTTGAGGAAGAAGATTTTGATCCGATGGGTTTGAAAGTTCACTAATCTCATCTTCTTGTGACGAGAACATTCGATAAGCACACAGCGGGCTCTTTCAATGTACAATTATTTAGACTCTTGATCCAGAAATTCTGTTTCTGAAACTGATAATCTCAGTTTCGGAAAAAACAAAATCGATACAGGAAAATAATTGAAAATCAGGAGAGAATCTTAAAAATCAGCTCCTGTTATCAGGAGAAAAGTCTAAAAATCAGGAGTCTCCTGGTCAAATCAGGAGATTTGGGCACTCTGATTACACGGCAGTCGACAGATTTCACCGATGTGTCTACTGCACAATGAATGTCACTTTGATCTCTTGTTTTTAGCATTTAAGCATCAACTTAAATGATCATCAAAAGAGGAGAATAGTGAAATAAGTTGGATTTTCATGATGATACTGGAACTTTTAACGGGTGCAACATTTTCAATTAAAAAAAGGTACTCGATGTTGTCTTAGTAAAAACTGTTAAAAAAAGAATTCCTGAGCTGAAAACTATATTTTTTGGCTTTCTTTGAGGTCAAGATTAGGGACGGTAATTTACCGTCGGTAAAATTTTGAAAAAACTGCTAAAAACAAGTGAAGGAAAGTACTCCGAAGTCGAACATTTATCTAACATTTTTATTCTTGTTGTAAGGTGCACCTAAAGCAGAATTCAAGTGAAATTTTTTTTGGGCTTAAAGATACATATTCTGATTCACCTCGACGAGCTGAACATGGTGAGCACCCTCCGAGTTTAAAAAAATTGACTTTTGAGGGA